GAAGGTAGCCGCGTGGAGTCTCACCGGAGGCAGAAATCGCTGCGTTTGGATTCAAATTCAACTCCTCTCCTCCTCCTCCCGCCCTGCCGCCGCCGCCGCCGCCGCCACCCCCCATGCTATCAGCGCCCTGCCCTTCTGCGGCTCCCCCCTGGGCCCCGGTCCCGCCCAAGCCGAGAAGGTCGCTGTCGCCGTCCATGAAGCAGTCGGCGAAGATCTCGTCGATGTTGATGAACTTACTGTTGCCCATGCCGCCGTTGCCGTCCCCGCCCGGGGTGACGCCGAAGATGGGCGCCGGCGGCATCGAGTTCACTCTCGTCGTCTGATCCATTGCGCTCCTGCTAGAGGGCCACCAAAACAAAAGGGTCACCTATAATAGCAAGCGCAGAAGAAATATACGCCCTTTCCCCCCCCAAACCCACTGTTTTATGGAGGAGCCTTTTTTTCTTCTTGCGCGAACGTTCTCGCGCCCTTCGACCTGTTCTCTTAGCTCTCTCGAAGCAAATAGCTGAAGAAAGCCTCCACCTCTCTGGAAAGCGCGAAGCTCTCTTGCGCAGGCACACTCCGTGCTTCCGCCGCCACGGCAGTTGATTTGACTTCCTTTTCCCCCTTCCCGCAATAACCTTCAGAAGACCATTCCCCCGTGCCATGTTCATCCCCGCCGGGCCAGATAAATGGGGCGAGCGGGTACACATGCATATGCATAGGAGTGTTAGTGAGATCTCCGGTGGCAACCGGGCCAGGGGCGGGGGGAGGGGGGACATGTCGCCTGCACACGGCGGTGGCCGCGTGGGCAAAAAAAAAAGTCCTTTCTGCATTGTGGGTTCGATACAGTCGTGAGTATACACGCTTTAAAAACTTGAAGGCGGCTAGTACCGCAGGAGGGGTGGGTGGGGGGTTTCAGGGAGAGGAACCATTCTGTCTTATGTGGGACCACGGATTCGTTCGAGCTTCTACAACGAAGTGCTGTGTGTGTGTGTGAGAGCCCTGATACAAAAAGTGATGCACCCCCCCCCAAAAAAAAATATAACACAGCAGCATTCCTATTCCTGTACGATACGCAGCTGAACTGAATAGATGGCCAGCGAGGGAAAGGGACGGCAGAAGCCTTCTCGCGACAAAAGTGAAAGGAGGAGGGAAGGAGGGCGACCAACGCGGCAGCGGGGGAAGAGGAATGAGCAAAACATTAACATTCGCGCACTACGTAAAAAAAAACAACTAAAAAAGCTTCTGCGGCTGCGTGTGTGTGTGTCACCTTCCCTCCTGTATGACCCCGGCCTGGCATGCACGCGTCAAATCATTAACGGTGTGTACTGCGGCGTGGTACTGGTGTATCATAACGACTTGGCTAGACTCTACAGCAGAGAGACGAAAGGGCGAACCTACGATACAATCCTCCTTTGCTGCCGATGTTTCGGGCGGGCGCTGGCTCTCTCCACTGTTTCCCCGCGTCTCGCCCGCTGTGGGTGGTACCGCCGTGTGCGTACTCGAAGTGCGAGTGGACTTACAAGTAGCGGGGCGTTGCTTCGCACGGATGATCAAAATCAATATGACCGCTTCGTTTGGGACAAGAAAACAACGCACTTTAAAACTGCTGTAACTGCTGCTGTCTACAAAACTTCGAAGGAAGTATCAAATTGCGATCGTTTGTCGACCCTTTTTTTTTCGAAGAGTCTGTTGGTCAAACCCCTTCCAAGAACAACTGTCTGTCGTACCCATGGCGTCCCTGCTGCTATTTGTTGAGGCACATGCGAATTTTCGGGACGGGGGCATCTGTCTGTCTAGCCCACGCGTGAATCGGGGGGCGGGGGGGCGAGATCCGCTCCAGAGCTAGAGGGGAGGACAAAGGGGCTGGCTAGTTGATGTTTCGTAGCTCCGAGAGAAAAACTGCGCTTCAACCGCAAAAAACAAAAAAAGGCGTTGTTGGATGTTTGGAGACAGGAGATAAAGAGGCTTGTGATCATCACATCCGCACCAAACATCCATCATCCCCCTCTGCCTTCGGAGTGAGGTCCGGATCCGTCTTTTTTAGGGAAGATATTCCTACGGGACAGGTGGCCAGCATGCGCCAGGGTTAGCTTCCAGACCAATCTCTGTCTTGCGGAGGGTGGCGGCGGCGGTGCCAACCCCAAATCATCCCGGTCTTCGGACGAAGGCGAAGAAGCGGGGTTCATAAAAAAAATAGGGACAGCGCAGAATGGAACAGCGCAGACCCAGACCCAGAGGGCACGACTTGGTGATGGTTGGCATTCTTGGACCAAACATCATCATCATCATCATCATCACATCAACGAAAAAGCCCGAGAAAAAAAGCCCCGGCAGTCGCCGAGACTCAATTCCCCCCCCCCCCCCCCCTGCTTAGGCATCACAGCAGTCAGAGCCACACGGTGGGCATCACAACAAGTGTTTGGTGTGTGTGGTGGCGAGAAGGGTATGTCGCACGCTGGCTGTGGTTCAAAAATGCAAAAAAAATGAATGCGCCGTTCGTGCTGTACATATTTCAGATTTTCATCTTTCGGCTCGTTTCTATCTAAAAAAAATCTCCCCCCTCTTGTCTGTGTTTGGTTTGTTTGTCATGGGCACATAAAAAAACTATATGGCACATACATTTTTCCCGCCCCGGTAAAAGAAAAAAAACGTCCTTCGACACAGCGGCGGCTCTTCTGTTCCTCTCTCGGCGAGCACGGCGTCGCGCGCACGCGTGTGCAGTCGGGTTGGTTACCAGAGAGCTGCGGTGGATAGCGATGACACGATAGTTGCATCCCAAGCAGCGAGGCAAGGGAGAGCACGAAGAAAAATCCAATCTCTCCAAACGCCTCAACAGCCTTGCTGCGGAGGGCACTTCGATCTAGGAGGAAGGCTCGAAAGTACACCGGCAGCACCAGGGTCGGGCGGGCCGAGCGTAGCCAGCAGGGCCGTTTGCAACCACCCGTTAGGCGAAGGGGGGGAGAAGGGGCTCGTGCTTATGTGAGCGAGGAGAGCAATTATGATGTTGGCGAGAACAAAAAAAGTCATAATTTTCTCCCCCTTTGCTGCTGCTTGCTCTCTCTCTCCCTACCTAGACGATACCAAACCTTCAACACGAAAAATGTGCAAGGTGTACAATATCACCCCCCCTCCCCTCTCCTGTAAGCCTCGCACCTTTTGCCCCGTGTGATTCGCAAGTCAGCTGGCTTGCGACGCGGGTCGACTCGCCTCTCCCAGTCCCTCTCAACGCGATAACCGGCTCCTTTCGAAACGCGCTCGCCCCGCTCTCTTCGTTGTAGTTGCCCCTCTTGTCTGCTGTGCTTTCACCCAGAGAGGCATGAGGTAGAGAGGGGGAGAGAGCGGGGGAGAGGGGGCTCCGTGGATTGTGAATATGTACCGCGCCTGTGGTGGTGTGCGATGCGGCGCCGTCTCGAGTTGCAGCACAGAGCAGTCCAGCAAGTCTCTCTCGTCTGTCCCCTCTGCCCTGTCCATCAGGAAGGCCACCGACAGCCAGCAACCTCTACTAGAGACTTTGCCAGTAGGCCCGCGGGCCCGATATTTTCATTCCATCTCGATCACAGCGGCACACCCAGAGGGCACACGGCAAGGCGGTGAAATATATAAGCCAAGGAGGAGCACCATGCAGATCTTCGTCCAAGGCTTGGGCGGCGGCCACTTCGCCGTGGACGTGAGCTCCCTCCGGGACTACCGAGTTTCGACGCTCAGATCGGCGGTGGAGGGACTCTCGGGCGTTCCCCCCCACCTCCAGCGGCTCACCTCCGGAGCGAGGGACCTGGCCTCGCCCTCCGCCAGCCTCGACGACTATGGGATCGAGCACGGCTGCACGGTGCGGCTGTCCCTGCGGCTTCTCGGCGGCATCGACTTCCAGCACCGAGAGGGTTCCAAGTTCGGGGGCGGCGGGGTCATGTCCGAGGGCCAGGCGGCCGTGGACCGCAGGGAGAGACTGAGGAAGCTGGCCCAGGAGACGGTGGACCTGAACAAGGACCCGTACTTCATGCGGAACCACCTGGGCAAGTACGAGTGCAAGCTCTGCCTGACCCTGCACAACAACGAGGGGAACTACCTGGCCCACACCCAGGGCAAGCGGCACCAGCAGAACCTGGCGAGACGGGCGGCGATGGAGGCGAAAAACGCCCTGGTCAAGCCTCAACCGTGAGTGCGCGTTAAGTTGGGAGCAGTTGTTGAGCTTGCTGTGGTAGTTGTTCCTCCGCGTAGAGAATGTAGTAGAGCACCGCTTCCTGGGCGTTCCAACCACCTCCGATCGCGTCGTGTGCCAGCAAGAACCACTGCTCTGCGAACCCCCTCGCCTAGGTGCAGGATGACCGTTTCCACGTGCATTTCATCAGTAGACAACCACTTGGCGCCTGACAGCAGCATGCTATTATATTGTAAACTTATAAACGCCACAGACAGACACAACGATCTTACGCCTTCCTGCCGCACCCCCCGGGCACGAACGCAAAACGCCCCCCCCCCCCCTCAGCACACCCTTCCTGCGACTCGCCGAATACCTCACGGTGCTTCGCGCTTGGTGATGTGAGAGCCTGGTGCGGTGAGAACCCGGCGTGCTCCGTCCCGGCTTTGTAGGGACGCGAGGTCTATGGCCTAACGACTACGGCATGCACGACTATGAGTACACCGCCCCCCGCCCCCCCATCCCCTTCCCCCTCCCGGTCGCAGAGCCATCACGGTGCAGACGCGTAACGTGATCAAGATCGGCCGTCCGGGGTACAAGGTCACCAAGGCAAGAGATCTATCTAGCAACCAGCGAAGCCTGCTGTTCGAGGTCGACTACCCGGAGGCGGAAGACGGGGCGCAGCCGCGACACCGGTTCATGTCGGCGTACGAACAGAAGGTGGAGGCCCCCGACAAGGGATACCAGGTGTGATGAGAGACAGGGAGGTCGGGAAGGAGGCTCTGCGCGGCAAGCATGCCTGGTTTTCTCTCACGGGCCCACTTTGCCATGTCTTCGTTTTCCCATGCCTTCGACAACTATTAAGTAAACGCGGACTGAGTCGGCGTCGAAACGAGATACCAGTATGTCGTCGGGAAAGATTCCTCCGAGGTCTGTTTTTCCAGCTCCCCCCCCCAAGCTGTCGGGACTCTTGTCAGCGTTCCCGCCGCCGAGAAATCGAGGGCCCAGAGACTATGTTGCACCTTTCCAAGGGTGTGCTCGGTAGGGTACGTACCGAAGTAGACCGCCGGTATTCCCGCCGGTATATACCCTACCGAGCGTCTCGGTACCCTTCGGTAAGCCCTCCATACTTACCGAAAATCCCGGTACGCCTCGGTATTGGCCCTCCGTACCTACCGAAATTCCCGGTACGCCTCGGTATAGCCCTACGTACCTGCCGAAAATGCCGGTACGCCTCGGTACAGCCCTCCATACCCTACCGAGCGTACCCGTACCCTACCGAACACACGGTTGCACCTTTTCTATTGAAATATCAGCAAGAACCCTGAGTTGCAAGTACAGCCGATACAGCATAGCTGAAACCGTGGTACTCGTTAAAGTTTTTTTGTACATGGGGTTGTCATCGTTGTAGATACGTGTTGTTCCTGTGGCTGTCTTTGACGAAAAGAGCCGTGGTTGCTTGTATTTCGGCTACAGATGGCTTTGTGTGTGGAACGACAAGACAATACGCACACGATGTGCGCACAAAACTTGCCAAAGATCGAAATAAGTGTTTATCGAAACAAGATGCTACCACGAAAGCTTAGCATGTGTACCTATGCCCACAAAGGTTACGCACGACGGGCGAACAGCAGTACCGAAAAAAGACCCAAAGAAGTGATTTTCGAAGCAAGATGCTACAACTACGAAGGCTTAGCATTTACCTATGTGCCCACAAGATTACCCGGAGCGCTTGTTTACCCACGGTCCACCCCGTCGCCCGTGCTGTTACCACGGCCAATGCCGCAATCTGTGTTGTGTACGTTCGTGCAGTATCTTCTGTTCGCGTGCGATCCATACGAGACGATCGGTTTCAAGGTGCCGAACCTCAAGATCGACAAACAGGAAGGCCGTTTCTTCACCAACTGGGAAAAGGAAGCCAAGAAGTTCACGGTAAGAGTCGGCGTCTGCAGTCACGACTGCTTTCATCGGGCGAGGCGAATCTGAAGAGAACAAGTCGCACTCGATTAAGAAAACTTTGCGCTGTGAGAGAGTAGTGTTTTTTTGTTTTTGGATGAGGATTACTGAGTTTGCCTGTACCATGTTGGTGCGTTAGATAAACTGCTCAACGGTTCTTTGGTGGGAGGATCAAAATGGCTAATGTATGTATGTGCGCTGAAACCGCTTGTATCGGCGTTCAATGGATGGGCTATATAAGCGTAGTTACTTAACACTCTTTGCTTCCCCTCTCCTGCGACGGCGCGCCCCATGTTGCTCTCTCGCCTGCCCTGTCGCTGCAGCTTCAATTATATTTCGAGGACGAGGCCAACGCTGCACCGCCGGGGCGTTGAGGAAAACAAACACAGAAGCGATGTTGTAGCGATCAAGCATCACTCTGTGCCAGCAAGACTCTCGCTTTGCTCGGAACCCAGCATGTTGTTGCTAGTTTGGGTGGTGTCACCGATCTTGCTAGTTGTCAATTCCATGGAACATTCCGCGGTGGAATGCGATGGGCTGAAGATAACTCTGCGAGTATTGTTACCTACTTGTGGAGCCACTCTGGCCGGGCTGGCCTTGGTTGGCAAGGTGGGGCCGGTGGGGGGCCCGCGATTGGGGCTTGGTAGCCGCAGAGCTGGGGGTAAGAGAAGACGAAGGGGCACTCCAGGAAGACGGCACGCGGGTCGTGTTGATAGCTGCTGCCACGGTGCACACATTTTTTTCCCTACGCTCTTCGCGGGCTCAAGCGGTGTTGCACAACACAGTAGACCAGCCGCCTCCCTTCAGCTTTCGATACAGGCGAAGAGACAGCAGCGTGCGGAACGCCGTGAGAGATCTCTGGGTGATTTCTGTACAACATGGGCATCTTGCTGCTCAAAGGGGGAGGAAATAGTCCTCCTGTGTACCTTCTGCCGTACGCACCAAAGTCGGTCAGGTTTGTAATTATCTCTTGTTTTTGTTTCGGGCAGCACACACGCCTGTTGCTTTGAACGTGCCGTCGTGCACGCTTGCTCGTGCTCGAACGCGGTGCCTTTTTGCCGTTCTGATCTGAGCGTCTCTGGCGCCCGACCCGCGCAGCATCAGTTAAAGTTCAGCCGCATGCGGTCACCTCCGTCCTTGCACCAAGAATGGCTCGCGCTGCACAGCCAAGCAACATGAGAGATGAAGGACGGTTTCGTCGCTTCCACGCTATTGCATTGCTACCAAGCAAGGCACGCCGAACGCGCACTTCGGTATTAGAGGGATATTTTATCTTGAGAAGGCATGTGCGCGCATCTCACGTGTCGCTTACTTACGTTACCGACAACAAGCCCATGTGCTGAGGAACGCTAGAGGGAATCCTACACAGAATTGATTGCGGAACTGCGCACCATACGCTGTTCGATGTAAGGAATCCATGTTCTTCGGGCGGATTGATGCGACTTTCTTGGTGTGTTTCTCCTCCGTTGTCTCTTTCAGCGGAAAATACAGCATAGACTAGATAGAACTCTTGTGGACGTATCTTGAACGGCGAGTTTAATACGCGAAGACCATTTTCTGCGGGCGCCACTACTGCTGTATGTGTTGGGTTCCGTCAAAAGAAACTCGTTTTCTGTGCACGCACGCCCTCCAGTAGACGTATTTCGCAATACGTGAGCATGAGGAGCAAGGCGTAAATTTGTTTCTTCCGGGCCCAGCAGCTTCTCCGTACGTAAGATGGGGAGGAAGAACGAGAGGAGGATGAAATACACCACCAAAGCCACGCACGACTATCTCCGGCGGCACATGCATCACGATCTGCATGAGGCCGACTGCGCCTACTTCCTACATCTTCTCGAATCCCAAAAGTCTGAAGAATCGGGAGGCAGGATGACTTAGCCATCGTTCATTCACCACAAAATCGCTTTATCTTTTTCCGGTCACATGTGCATGCGCCCAAAG